AAAGAAAAAGACAAAGTCATAAACAGGAGTCATTGGAAATGATATGCGGCATATTAAGCTTACAGTCAACATGTTGATACCGCGAAAAGTTTAAACAAAAAAAGGAACTGGAGCAGGAGACCAAAAAGTATAAACACGGAGGAAACACTAAAGGCGTTGTAAAAATACTATAGGCAGGGTTTTCTGATGCATTATGAAAGGTTATGCGTAAACTCACACCAGCACTTTGATGAGAGAATACACTACTATCAAACAGTGTTTAGATCATTTTGAAGAAAGTGAAGAAGGAAAACAGGTGTGATGTACAAGATGTACCAAATTCCATGCTTCATTTGCGAGACAACGTATATTGCTTACCATAAACACCATAATGATGTTCAAATCATGGGACTAAGATTTCAGAGAAACAGTATAATAAGTCTGTCGATGAAGAGCTTACGGTCATGTACAAGCACATCATAGACTGGGGCAACGCTGTGATGATAGAAAGGGAGAACAACGAGCAAGTTAGGAAATATCATATCGTGCTTTATCAATGTTTAAAGCCTAAAACACTGTAATTTTGCACTTAATCACTTTACAAAAATAACGCATGTTTCTGAAAGTTCTAAAAATGAGTTTCAAAATTATGTTTGTTTATGAAACAAACATTTTGTGTATAGACATGGATATGTTTAATTACGATTTTGTGTTAAAATATGAAAAGATATATATGACAGTTATATGATAACAAACAACATGCCAATTACTTGTGGTTGTCAGTTTGAGTGAGCTGTTAGTTTACGATTGTATAGCATAGTTATGTTTAAATGATATTATCAATCATGTTTACTTCTACCGTGTCACAAGGCTCTCCTTTTGGGTGCCAGCAAACTTCTTACAGCTGACCAGATCAATGACGTCACATGTCATATTTGTTTGGAACATATCAACATTTTATGACGATACTTTATCTTTAAACAAACGACCTTGACAAGGACCAGCTGTTGTTTGAACAAGTATCATGGCCGTCCGTCCTATAAAGCAAAACAAAATCTCAATTGATTGTATGAACTAATCAGAGCAGTGGAGGAATAGCGTGCTTATAAACAAAGGAAAATATGGCTTTAATCCAATACACTTAATGTACTTTATAATCTATCAGAATCAGTGTTTGTAATGCGTTTAAGATTAAACCTAATGTGAATAGCACTGATTAAACTATAGACCATTGCTGATAGCGTAATGGGCGACCTATCACGAAGGAACGGTAGGACTTCAATGTTTGGCTGTACTGTAGAGCTGCTGTCGAGACAAGCCAGAGAACGGCAAAACTGCTTCACACTCACTTAAAATAAAAGAGAAGGACGAAACTAATTTAATCAAGAAATAACAGATTAAAATGCTACAAGTTTTAGAAACAAAATGCAAACCATTGTAAGTCTTGTAATCTGTTTAGATAGAAAAGGAAACTGTGTAATCCGGAAACTTCTTCATGCCACACATTCAAATAAGTCCCATGTAAATTGAACTCGTGTTATCTAGAAAAACCTGTATATGCCAGACAATTAACACAGTTCAAATTATGAACACATGTTCTCTAAAGAAACCTGTATATACAAGTCATTTAACAAAGTCCCGATTATGAACACATGTTATCTAGAGAAACCAGTATACCTTCATGTTTGTCCCAATTTGTAAAAATATACGTAAATAGTGTTTTTCGGTAACCCGAATGAACCAGACATATATGATCTATAAGCTTGCTAATCATCAATCTCATATGAAAAGAAACTCATGTAAGTTCCTTTTTATCACATAATCAAAATGTGTCGCATTTATTCGTTCGTGCAAAAACGGCAATTTTCATGCAATTTTGAAATGTAAAAAGCCGCCATTTTGACTCCGATGCGTCTGTGACGTCATGTTCTTATCCTAGGCGTGACGTAACAATTGAAACTTACAACCAATCACATGGCTGATAGGTCATATTACATAGATGAATACGCAAAAAATATGAAATGGGTATATTCACTGGATAACACAGTACATTATGTGAAAAATTAAATTAGATCTAAGAGTAAACTGGAGACAGTGATCGTTTCAGCTTGATAACATTTGTCGCAATATCTGTCATAATACGTGTGTCCTATGCTGAATTCGCATTCATGTTTATGGTTTTACTTGCTGTTAGGTTCTGAAAAAAGTTACCAAAAATAGTCTCGTAAGAATTGATCATGTTGTTAACGATTAAAAATGAAATAGTCAATTATAAAGTTTCTTGTCTAACAGAACTTTGCTCGTAAATTGAACACATGGAATTCAAACATCCGGATATTTCTAACGACAAAAGCAGTGGTCATTATGATAATACCTCTTTCTACTGGAGATGTCTTCAGTAAGTTAGAATCAAGTCAGGGGTTACTATACCAAAAATCAATCAACTGATTTACACAGTCAATGACCATTTACTTCTTGTATTTGTAGGTGACTGTACCAAGAAGTGGCCTAAAGGTTTTACACAGCTAATGTTCATATACTTGTTCTATATCAGAAGGTTACTGAACCAATAAGTAGCCTACTGCTTTAGCAGGCCCCATTTCTAGGTGTTCGTTCTATATCAGGAAGTTACTCCGTCAATAAGTAGCCTACTGTTTTAACATGCCCCATTTTTAAATATTTATTCTATCTCAGGGGTATACTGCAACAATAGGTAGCCAACTGTTTCACAAAGCTAGTGTTTACGCATTTTCTCTCTAGGATAGGTCAACGTACCAATAAGTAGTTCCATTATCATGCAGCATGTGCTTCCGGCTACGTTTTATGGGTGGGTTTGCTCTTGCTTAATACAAACATCGCAATAACTCATATTTTCATTTATTGTATAACCACTTACACGTCTGATGAAAATGCAAGTGCAAAATAATAAGGTATTTTTGAATTAAGATAAGGACTGGCACATAGTTATTTTATCTAAGACAAAATGATAAATTTACATTTTCAAATATTCCATGTAAACGTAATTGCCTCAGTTGAAATCAGTCAATTTTATTATTCTATACCAGAGAGCGGGCCAAACATCGATCTGATAAAAGAGGTTGTTGCGTCCACGCATAAAACAATCGGAAATTGGGATAGGTATTGCAAGACCTAAGCGTAGTAAAATATCTGAAATGCAAAGAAAAAAATGAATTAATGACAGTTAAACGAACGTATAACAAATTACGTTTCGTTAGAACATTATTTCCCTTTAGCAATACACAGAACATTGACACCTATCGAAAAGAGAACATCTGTGAAGAGGGTTCTCGTGAACAGTCGAGTTGTTTATGAAGTCATAGAGTAAAATGCATGTATATAGTGGGCTTTTGTAGTACAAACATATTGATGTTCGCAAAGGGAGTTCACATGTTGCATGCGTCTGTGGTTTAATAGGAGAGGGGTAAGTATACCATTGAGAGAGTGAATGTTTAGAAGTCACGAACGTTTCTCGCTTTTAAGTGTCAACAGTTCGGGGGTCAGCGAACGAAGGGAGTGCAAGAATTTATTTCTCCTGTACATGTACATTGGTAAATATGTTTTAGGGCGGGTGCAAGGATTTCAATGATGACGGATATTTGATGAGGTTGTTCACCTGTTTAAGGTGTAGGCAATGACTGATCGGTAACACCCCCTTACAGTTTAATCAATAAAGAACCCAGTTAATGATATACCATTACTTTTTGTTTATTTCAAGCAGAAATTGACAACAAATTATTGACGAATGATTAATTTGCTTACGTCATAACTAAGACGGGTTTTGAATGTAATGCATAATAGCTGCATTAATCTATTATTTAACTTAAGTCAACACCGAACAGATCAAAACGTTTCAGTTAACAGATATACGTTAGCAAGACATTAAATTTTGAAACATTGTTATTTTTAATTATTTTTCTACCATGTCGTTATACAGTTTTGAACACTGATTATATCTTTTATATATATATATATATAGAACAATCGTTCACGCAATCAATATGTTAAACAATGAATATGTAAACAAAACAGGACGATAAATATAAAATTAATAAAGTACAAGTAAATAAATAAATTGATGTCATTAAATCAATCACGGTATCAAATAATCCACCATTCTATCACTTTATTAACCCATTCTCCCAATTAGTCAGTAACTCAGTCCACCAAACTCATATTTAGTTACTCATTCCACCAAACTCATATTTAGTTACTCATTCCACCAAACTCATATTTAGTTACTCATTCCACCAAACTCATATTTAGTAACTCAATGCACAAATAGCATATCAGTAACTCAGTCTACCAATATTCCGTAACTCAGTTCACCAATTCCACTTAAGTAACTCAATACACAAAATCACATTCAGTAGCTCGATGGTTCCAGAAATAACATATTAATTAGGTTAATAAGTCAACATATCACATACTTAGTACCTAAATCACATAATTAATCAATTACATATGTATTGGGTTCAATTGTAGTATCTCCAAAGAAGCCTAGAATGTAGAACCTCTAAATGGAAAATCGGTCAATTAAGGAGATAACGGAGCCGGAAGTCTATATTCATTGAGGAAGCATAGTTACGCATTCTGTACCGTTTTACGCTATACTTGAAAAGTGTAAAGACGTTACGAGGAAGTAAGGTTTTCATAAAACTGTCTGGTGTCAAATTAAAAAACAGTTGTTTCTCAGATGAAAGCCGTATTACAAACACGAATCGTGAGCTACTATAAAGACCAGACTGATATAACCATATGGTAAACTCATTGTAATTAAATAGATAATTGTCTTAATGGAAAAAACCTGTTATACCATGACGCCCGACATATTTTTACACTCCCACACTCCACAAAAAATTGTTAACAGTTATAACAAAAAATCAAATTCTGTTCCGCTTACGTAGGTTACTTAACACATAGAAACAATAACTGTTCCGTTATAATGGGTTCTGCGAGTCTTCAGCATCGGCTGTGTGTATTGGGGCTTTAGAGCTTTCTATACAGATATTGATGCCCAGCGTTTACAGGCCATTCCCATGCAGAGCTCGCCATCTCTGCACTAACTGACATTCCCGGAGATATATGAACCTAGGGAGCTCCCGTGGGACAAAAGGAAGATTTTGGCAAAATAATTTGTGTGGGATGATTTTGCTCTGAATCTGATTTATTTGTTATCATTAGCTGTTAGGTGGGTTTGGCCTCTTACTCCAGACACTGCTTATAAGTACGGCTCTTTGTGTAAATAACACACAGCACAATGACAAGACGATAGGATACGTGATATAGTGTTTTGGAAAATTTAGAGTAAACACTTTCCGTGATCGGTCGGCTATATAAACAAGGCTAGCTACGAGTGTGCGATACACAGTACCGTTTGTCAGTCTAGGAGAGAGTGGAAATTATACGGTTCTTCATTAAACTTGTGGAATGCCAAACAGAAGTGGACCAAACACCAGGGTTACGTTTTTCAAATATATGGGCTGCCATTTGAGAAAAAGTATTAATTAATTACCAAAGGCGAGGATTTAGCTTGAACAGTGAAAGGGAGTATCACTAATAATCCACGGAAGACAATTACAGATACAGAAGACACCATGGTTAATACCGGTTCTACTGAGACCAGGTGTCTACAATGTACGTTGGTGGGAGATGCAGCCATCGGAAAAACATCGCTAATAAGGACTTACACAGACCGGACAAATAATACACCTCCACCTGACACTGTGTTCGACAATTATGCAGGTAAATATATGAAAAGGACTTTAATATCTAAATACTTTTTATTTGAAATACTTTTCACCGATTTTTTAAAAATGGATTATATTATCATATATTTCAATTTGTTTTCTTTACCAAACCTTTAAGATGTTACATCAAAATGCCATCCAGTTACTGAAGCTACCGTTTACATAAAACATTTTTCTCAATTCAAAAACAATCCAATACTTTCGTCGCTTTAATGTTCACTCTCCTTGTATTTGTTTCCCCGATTACTATATTAAATTACAAGATTGTTTAAATACATTTTCCCCTTAAATTTCATTATACTTTCTTACAATTTTATAATTTACCTTTTTTTTCATTCCAGGTACATCAACATATTCAAATCAAGAGTTCACGATTAGCATATTTGACTGTTCTAGTAAGGTAAGTCTAAAACATATCAAACTGTTACAACAATTTTTACAATGATACATACATAGTATTCCCAAGATGAATGATTCAAAACATGATTTGTTCTTTGAAAATTCTGAAATTTCTTTGCTTATATCTAAAAAGAAAACTTTTGTTTTAAAGAATGTTGTTTTTAAAAAATATTTTAATTTTCCAGATATACCTATTGATTACCAATTCTGAATCTTGTAATGGTACTTTGGAAAGTTTGATTCTATGCTATAAAGATATGTGTTTTCTATAAGATATTTCCGTATATTTTACTGTGTCTTTACATTTACAGCCTGACCATGCCAGTATCCGTTTGTTTGCCTATAAAGACAGTGACGTATTTGCCCTGTGCTACAGTGTGATGGACAGAGACTCGTTTGAACATATCAAATCAAAATGGCTACCGGAAGTGACGAATATCATGGGAAAACGAGTGAACTTTGTGTTAGTTGCCACTCAGATAGACCTACGAGAATCAATAGACCTTGATCAGGATATTCCTGTCAGTAAGACAGAGGGACATAACATGGCGGAGGAAATTGGTGCGTGCAGTTTCATCGAATGTTCATCGTCAAATCAAGACAATGTTCAATGCGTATTCGAGGATGTTGTTCAATGTGTTTTGAAACAGAAGAAGAAAAAGCATAGTATTGTTCAAAGAATTTTTGGAACGAAATAAGGTTCACTCCAATATTTTAAAAGCTACCAAGCTGTGATGATTATATAGACGACCTAGGCCCATATGTTCAAGTTTAGTCAGCTTAACGTCACGCCAGTTTGTTTTGAATATCTTTATTTTGATGATTATTTTTTGATTTGCATGAAAGAAGTGCGGCACTTATCATTTAAATGTCTATACCTACTGTTTTATTCCGGAAATTCGTTTTTTTAAATATATTGTTTTTAATTGTACTTTTTGAATGATTAACGATAATTATTTGTCTTTAACCCAACCAATCTTAAACAACTGCGCATTTACGATAAATGTTATAAAGATTCCAGCTTACCTAAGTTTTATTTGTATTGTATGAACTTACGAAGCCTAAATACAGAGGTGAAATTTAATTTAGATTATTGAGTGATCAGAGTTAAGTGTTTGATGTGTGTGTTTATAGAGACCTCATTTTTGCGTCTGCAGGGACTGATATGTGTAAGTTATCTGCTTCATTTCAACACAACGACGGCGATTTGTATGTTATATCGCTTTGAAGTGTATTGCTGCTGATAGTACATCCATTGTCAAAGTATGTGGTATTCATGGAAAATATACAATGTTCATATTTGTTATATATTTTTTGACAAATTATTTATTGAATAAATGTTTTGTTTGGGATTGTATTTCTTATTTTAATTTCCCCTTTGTCATATTGATGGATGAAGAATTTAATGAAATACTATAAGAAAGGACTCTCTCTCTCTCTCTACTAATATTTTACATTTTGTAATAAACTATTCAATGCTAAACCAAATTTAATCTTCCTAAAGAGAATTTCATTTCATATATATCATTTCGTCTCTATTCTGTACGATTTTAGTTTTTTTAATAATGGAAATACATCTTTCTGAGATAGTGCGGTGAAATAAACATGAAAAATCTCTTTGATGAAATAAAAGTGCTAAGGACATGAAGTGTTTTTATTTATTTTTTATTTTTTATATAATATACATCGTACATGTTCATGTATGTTTATATATATACATATACCGAACATCAGTGTGGACTTCATGATATAGTCAGATATGACAGTGTATCTGTAAAATACGGAGATATAGACAGATAAATCAGCTTTTTCAAAAATATACAGTGATGCATAAAGAATTTAGAAGATGTCCGTAAATCAAGAGACCGTATTCACTGAGACGTTCTCATGCTCAAACCCAGATTATTATCTTGTTCCAGTGATAAATGTCAAATAAACATTTTGTCAATGATTTGGAAGAGTTATGTAGTCTTAAAGCCGAAGTATAACTTCAATGTTAATATTTGACTTTTTGATCGTGCCACATTATTTAAGCGAGTAACAGAGTTGGTTTGAGCACAGAATCCATACTTGAGCATGAGAACGGTTTCATTAATACGGGCCGAGGTATCGGTAATACAAGCACAGTCTCACTTCAATGCATGATATTTAAAACGATGGTTACAAAAATGTATGATTGACACGAAAATCAATTTGAAGATTTTTATTGACCAAATGATTGTTACTACACACATTCGCAAAAGCAAAACTGACCAGTACAAAATGAACAGAATTATGCATGTTGGTAACTTTACAGAACCTGTTGGTCAGTTTGACTGTGTGTATAACTGACCACGACAACACCATCGGACCATGCCATTGGCGGTCATTGCAGAATAAATCCATTTTGATACGCAAAAAAATACTAAGCCTAGCATAAATGTACGAGGGACCGATAGCTTTCAAGATGTGACAGAGTTAAAAACTTTCGAAATGATAGCCGTAATCAGCGTGGAACCACTGGTGGTTTGAGCTGACCTATACGTTGAGTAATTGACAATTTTTTCTCAAAACACTAATAAACAATTAAGATCGACATCGTTCTAACTTACTAATGTAATAAATACCGGGAACATTTATATAAGGCGAACCGACTTCGAACCGACCAATGCTACTTAGTCAACGTTCCCGCTCCACAATAACTCAAATCACCTAATGGCCATGTTAGCAACTGACCAATCACACAAACACAATCGAAATTTATATATTGGACCACTGCTGGACAATACTAGCTAAGTTATAAATGGCCAATTCATCAGGTATCGGTTCAGTCTTTCACGAAACCACTAGTGGTCAAGATCCAGAGTTACAATTCAATATAACAAATATAAGGTTCACTATAACATTGGCCAAACACCGTTTCAATCGGATCGGATCGTGACCCAAATCAACTTAGACAATAAAATCTGATGTCAATCTCAAACTTCTATTCCATCACTGACTGCAATCCACATTCTTCTCTTTGAACGCCGTAACGAAACTGCAACGAAATAAAGAAATAACAAAATCGTATGCAAGCGTTATGCACAACCTGTCCGTTTTCCACTGCAGATTATGTTGTCATTCATCGTAGTTTTGGCATTAAGGAAAATTAATTAAAAATATATCTATGAAATTGATTATTCAAAATCAAAACAATCTATCCCAATTTTTTTTTAATTTTGCGGAGGAACCTACCTATCGAGGTCAAGGTAAACCCACCTAGTCAGGGAGGAGTAGCTAGTTAGGGGTATATAGTACCAACGTAGCGAGGGACATGGTACCTAGAGAGGGATATAGTACCAACTTAGGGAGGGACATGGTTCCTAGAATGGGATAAAGTACCAACTTAGGGAGGGACATGGTACCTAGGGAGGGATATAGGACCAACTTAGGGAGGGACATGGTACCTAGAGAGGGATATAGCACCAACCTAGGGAGGGACATGGTACCTAGAGAGGGATATAATACCAACTTAGGGAGGGACATGGTACCTAGAGAAGGTAAACCCACCTAGTCAGGGAGGAGTAGCTAGTTAGGGGTATATAGTACCACCTAAGCAAGGGACATGGTACCTAGAGAGGGATGTAGCACCAACTTAGCGAGGGACATGGTACCTAGAGAGGGATATAGTACCTCCTAAGCAAGGGACATGGTACCTAGAGAGGGATGTAGCACCAACTTAGCGAGGGACATGGTACCTAGAGAGGGATATAGTACCAACTAAGGGAGGGACATGGTACCTAGAGAAGGATATAGTACTAACTTAGGGAAGGACATGATATCTAGAGAGGGATATAGTACCAACTTAGGGAGGGACATGGTACCTAGAGAGGGATATAGTACCAATGTAGGGAGGGACATGGTGCCTAGAGAGGGATATAGTACCAACTTAGGGAGGGACACGGTACCTAGAGAGGGATATAGTACCAACTTAGGGAGGGACATAGTATCTAGAGAGGGATATAGCACCAACTTAGGGAGGGATATGGTATCTAGAGAGGGATATAGTACCAACTGAGGGAGGGACATGGTACCTAGATAGGGATATAGTACCAACTTAGCTAGGTACATGGTACGTAGAGAGGGATATAGTACCAATGTAGGGAGGGACATGGTCCCTAGAGAGGGACATAGCTCCAGTTTAGGGAGAGACATGGTACCTAGAGAGGGATGTAGTACCAACTTAGGGAGGGACAAGGTACCTAGAGAGGGATATAGTTCCAACTTAGGGAGGGACATGGCACCTAGAGGGGGATATAGCACCAACTTAGCCAGGGACATGGTACCTAGAGAGAGATATAGTACCAACTTAGGGAAGGACATGGTACCTAGAGAGGGGTAAAGCGCCAGTTTAGGGAGGGACATGGTATGTATGTAGGGATATAGTACCTACGTAGGGAGGGACACGTAGTACCTACTTATCAAGGGACATGGTATCTAGAGAGTATAGTACCAACTTAGGGAGGGACGTGGTACCTAGAGAGGGATATATTACCCACGTAGGGAGGGACATCGTACCTAGAGAGGGATATAGTTCCAACTTAGGGAGGGACATGGCACCTAGAGAGGGATATAGTACATACGTAGGGAGGGACATCGTACCTAGAGAGGGATATAGTTCCAACTTAGGGAGGGACATGGTATGTATGTAGGGATATAGTACCTACGTAGGGAGGGACACGTAGTACCTACTTATCAAGGGACATGGTATCTAGAGAGTATAGTACCAACTTAGGGAGGGATATGGTACCTAGAGAGGAATATAGTACCAACTTAGGGAGCGACATGGTATCTAGAGAGGGATCTACCGCCAGTTTAGGGAGGGACATGGTACCTATAGAAGGATATAGTACCAACTTAAGGAGGGACAAGGTATCTAGAGAGTATCGTACCAACTTAGGGAGGGACAGGGTATCTAGAGAGGGATATAGCGCAAGTTTAGGGAGGGACATGGTACATACAGAGGGATATAGTACCAACTTAAGGAGGGACATGGTATCTAGAGAGGGATATAATAGTACCAACTAAGGGAGGGATATGGTATCTAGAGAGGGATATAATAGTACCAACTAAGGGAGGGATATGGTATCTAGGGAGGGATATAGTACCAACTGAGGGAGGGACATGGTACCTAGATAGGGATATAGTACCAACTTAGCGAGGGACATGGTACGTAGAGAGGGATATAGTTCCAACTTAGGGAGGGACATGGGATCTAGGGAGGGATATAGCGCCAGTTTAGGGAGGGACATGGGACATAGAGAGGGATATAGTACCAATGTAGGGAGGGACATGGTCCCTAGAGAGGGACATAGCTCCAGTTTAGGGAGAGACATGGTACCTAGAGAGGGATGTAGTACCAACTTAGGGAGGGAAATGGTACCTAGAGAGGGATACAGTACCCACTTAGGGAGGGACATGGTATGACATGGTACCTAGAGAGGGATGTAGTACCAACTTAGGGAGGGATATGGTATCTAGAGAGGGATATAATAGTACCAACTAAGGGAGGGACATGGATATAGTACCAACTTAGGGAGAGACATGATACCTAGAGAGGGATATAGTAGCAACTTAGGGAGGGACATAGTATCTAGAGAGGGATATAGCGCAAGTTTAGGGAGGGACATGGTACCTGGAGAGGGATATAGTACCAACTTTGGGAGGGACATGGTTCCTAGAATGGGATAAAGTACCAACTTAGGGAGGGACGTGGTACCTAGAGAAGGATATAGTACCAACTTAAGGAGGGACAAGGTATCTAGAGAGTATCGTACCAACTTAGGGAGGGACAAGGTACCTAGAGAGGGATATAGAACCAACTTAGGGAGGGACATGATATCTAGAGAGGGATATAATAGTACCAACTAAGGGAGGGATATGGTATCTAGAGAGGGATATAGCGCAAGTTTAGGGAGGGACATGGTATGTATGTAGGGATATAGTACCTACGTAGGGAGGGACACGTAGTACCAACTTAGCAAGGGACATGGTATCTAGAGAGTATAGTACCAACTTAGGGAGGGACGTGGTACCTAGAGAAGGATATAGTACTAACTTAGGGAAGGACATGATATCTAGAGAGGGATATAATAGTACCAACTAAGGGAGGGACACGGTATCTAGAGAGGGATATAGTACCCACTTAGGGAGGGACATGGTACCTGGAGAGGGATATAGTACCAACTAAGGGAGGGACATGGAACCTAGAGAGGGATATAGTACAAACTTAGGGAGGGACATGGTCCCTAGAGAGGGACATAGCTCCAGTTTAGGGAGAGACATGGTACCTAGAGAGGGATGTAGTACCAACTTAGGGAGGGAAATGGTACCTAGAGAGGGATATAGTAGCAACTTAGGGAGGGACATAGTACCTAGAGAGGGATATAGTAGCAACTTAGGGAGGGACATAGTACCTAGAGAGGGATATAGTACCAACTTAGCTAGGGACATGGTACGTAGAGAGGGATATAGTACCAACTTAGGGAGGGACATGGTATCTAGAGAGGGATATAGCGCCAGTTTAGGGAGGGACATGGTACATAGAGAGGGATATAGTACCAACTTAGAGAGGGACATGGTACCAAGAGAGGGATATAGTACCAACTTAGGGAGGGACATGGTATGTATGGAGGGATATAGTACCTACGTAGGGAGGGACATGGTGCCTAGAGAGGGATATAGTACCAACTTGGGGAGGGACATGGTATGTATGGAGGGATATAGTACCTACGTAGGGAGGGACCCAACTTAGGGAGGGACATGGTATGACATGGTACATAGAGAGGGACATAGTACCAACTTAGAGAGGGACATGGTACCAAGCGAGGGATATAGTACCAACTTAGAGAGGTACATGGTTCCAAGAGAGTGATATAGTACCAACTTAGGGAGGGACACGGTATCTAGAGAGGGATATAGTATCAACTTAGCGAGGGACATGGTACCTATAGAAGGATATAGCACCAACTTAGCGAGGGACATGGTACCTAGAGAAGGATATAGTACCAACGTAGCGAGGGACATGGTACCTAGAGAGTGACATAGCACCAACCAAGGGAGGGACATGGTACCTAGAGAGGGATATAGTACCAACGTAGCGAGGGACATGGTACCTAGAGAAGAGAAGGATATAGTACCAACTTAGCGAGGGACATGGTACCTAGAGAAGAGAAGGATATAGTACCAACTTAGGGAGGGACATGGAATCTAGAGAGGGATATAGTAACAACTTAGGGAGGGACATGGTACCTAGAGAGGGATATAGTACCTACCTAGCAAAGGACATAGAATTGTGAGTGACAGTGTTCCTAGCGAGGGACAGGGTACTTAGCAGGGACATAGTACCAGCCCATCAAGGAACATAGTACATAGGGAGGGACATAGTACCAATTTAGCAAGGGGTCTGGAGAGGGATATAACACCAATCAAGCGAGGGACATAGTACCAGTGTAGGGACAGAGTGCATACCTAGCGAGGGACAGGGTACCAGTAGTTGATATGACGCTGGATGCACAGTGGGAACAACACCATATGCTCCTCCTCAAAATGCTGAACGAACTTCCTCTTCCAGTACAGGTCATTCCATGGCAGCTCTTTGATCAGTACCACGGACAAATCTAGTCCATAGTAAAACAACATCATGGCGTTTGATCTTTTTGCGAAATTCGCCTTGTCTTTCTTACGAGTACCGGAGGGGTTCCACAAGGATCTCCTTTTAACCTGACAAGGGGCAGCACCGCAGTGACGACAGAGGGAAGGATCTGTACAAACAAATATTTAATATGTCGAGAAAAATGTTCGAAATCCAGGGTTTAAGTTTTTGATACACAAAACATTACTTTCTATGCTCCTACTATTTTATCAGAATGGAACCCGGGACTGACAGTTACCTATCTGACTGGTTCCAGACACACAAATCTGACAAATAACAAGGCTTATAGAAAGTGGTTCCCGTTCTTTCAATATGACATCTGCATAGGAAAGAAATCAAAAGAGCAAATTTCATCTTTCAATATTGGAGATCACCAAATTACATGTACAGATCGTGTGACTTTACTTGGGGTTGAAATTGACAGTGATCTAAAATTTGAAAATCATATAGCAAACTTATGTAGGAAGGCTTCCAAACAACTATGTATACTCAAGAGAATTGGAAATCACCTGACAAAAAAAGGCAAAGTCACCATTTTTAAATCTTTTGTTTTATCTAATTTTGATTTTTGTCCTCTTTCATGGCATTTTTGCAGTATTAGAAATACCAGAAAAATCGAAAAGATACAAGAAAGAGCTTTACGTTTTATTGATAATGATTATAGCTCCTCGATTAAAGATCTTTTAGCTAGAAATAAATTATAATTTTTACATATATGTAGGCTGAAGACCATGGCCAAGGAAGTAAACAATATTTTAAATAATATTGCTCCAGAATTCTTAGAGAGTCTTATCAACAAGAACCAAGTTTTATATAATTTCAGGAAAGTTGACACTGTGACTATACCAAGAGTAAATTCTACCACATATGGTAAGAAATCTGTTCGTTTCGAAGCCGCCCATGCAGGTGTGGAATAGCCTACCAAATGAGATTAGACAAGCAGAAAACTACAAGGTTTTCTGTAGGCTGTTGCACACCTGGGAAGGTGACCTCTGCCAGTGTTCTATATGTTCCTGACTTTCATCTTATTGATCCCCCATTTTTATTTGATTTTTTGCTTTTATTTTGCTTCTTACTTCACTTTAATTTTTCTGAGTATTTTATTCCATCATTTACCAATATAAAATATTGTATTAACCATCTGTGATATATATGAAATATGTGCTTGCTAAATGTTTTTATATGTTTTATGTTAATGATTTCTGCTTATGTTATTATAAGTACGTTATACTGTTCCTGCTTTTTAACATGCATGTTCTATCATCAAACTGTTTTCTGATTATTTTAGTAGTTCAATGTATGTAGTTTTGCTGCATAATCCTACCTTTTTTACTAGCATGCTTTTTACCTTGTTATTACTCTGTTTTTATACTTATTTTTGTCGTAAAAATAACTCCAAAGAGCTAATGTTTCAATGTTATGCCATGTAAGACACTAAATACAGCTTCTTGTATCTTGTATCTTGACCATAGAACTACTCTGAGATTAAAGTCTGTCAAGATTACAATTACACTGTACGTTACCAAACAATTCGCTTTAATTTTTAATCAACACATTGCTCTGAGAATACAGGTATGCAAGATTTTGTAATAGTTTCCAAGCTAGCAAACGTGTATAATCCGCAAGGTGGCGCGTTAAGGTAGTTTTGTACATTTATTTTTGAAAACGTCTTAATTACAAGGTAAACAGAACGCTGGAGGTGAAAGTGAGAAAACTGATACTTTCATTAGACTGCTGCTTTATTTAATATTTAACATTCGCTGGTTACTTACGAGTTATCCATTCTCGGAACATTGACACGGCGGCTGACCATTTCTCTTTGACGATTTCTCTGATCGACGACGCATAGCCCAACAGCAGGGTAAGAAGCACACACAGCAGATTATAGAATACCACATTTCCAATTCGCTTGAATAAATCAAATCAAAATTATTTGCAGGGAATCGTAATATAATACAAGCATTCAATGTTCAAAAACGCGCAAATTCCTAAGATACGGACAATGGAGAAGAAGGCCGTTTTTGTCACAACTGGACGCTAACTAAGCATAGCTAGTGGCTTACAATATTGCGAAATACACACAAGAAAAACATGCAAAACGGAATGCACACGCGTAAAATATACCAGGTATATAATAAATTGATGAGAAGTAGAATCAGTTAAACATCATCACAGGAATAAGCTTACTTAACTATTAGTAAAGTAAAAGCTGTTGTCGTTTTCATGACAGTCATTAACATTAAAAATATCCCTCCAAATGCAACCGGATGTGAAGTGGATAGTATTAAGAAGCACCTCAAGGAGCGAATTGACGCTTGCAACGGTTTCACCAGCAATGAACCAATGAACCAATATGTAATCCTTACCCATGTCAGATCGGTAACCGTTGGACAGACTTTCTCGATTTCACTTGCGGTGAAATAATAAAACAATCTTTTGGCATGTCCTGGCTCGGGCTCCACGCTGCAGAGTTAAAATTATAAAGTAAGGAGTAAATATTTCTAAACATTTAATGACAACACAATCGTAAACTTGAAAAGGTTATTGACGTTCATTTGAGATCCGCGAGATCTTTTCATAATGTCAAGTCAAAGAATAACATATAAGATTCTAGCTTACCATGTCTGATCCAAACTTACCACGTAAGGTCCCGATATACAGCAGGCCCTTGGTGCATGGCGCACATCATTACCACAAATATCAAGAATAAACTGATATTCATTGTGGTAATCGAAGATTTAAACAAAAGAAGTAAATATCAGGGGAGAGACTGGTCATCTCCGCCTTCGCCGATTGCTAAGCAGCTTAGCAACAAGTATTTGACGTCACAAGTGGGTATCTCTATTGTACCAATCATGACGTCATGCTATTGTCTTTGACCTAATAAGTGCAAGCGGTTACACGTTGGTGACAATGTTTATGGTACCAACATATGCTCTTTTATGAATCGAACCCTGGACAAGCGGCAGTGAGTGATTCTAATAGGAGTCGAATTCGGGACTAACAGCGACAGGATATGTTTACCTTAGAATTCCACTAAAATTCGAACACAGGACAAGTGACGCTTGGGCCCGTATTCATGAAATCGTTCTCATGCTCAAGCATAGACTATGTGCTCAAACCAGTTTTCCTGTAACTCACTTAAGTCATGTCAAACGATGAAAAAGTCAAATTAAACTTTGGAAACAGTATACGGCCTTCAATTTTTTTTCCAGCTCAATGACAAAATTAGATTTCTTGAGATAATCTATAGTTGAAACAAGAAATTAAGCTTGAGCACAAAATCCATGCTTGAGCATGAGAACGGTTTCATAAAAACGGACACACGGTATGTGTTTCCATCAGAGATTGAAGACACAACGAAAATAAAGTACATGTACTTCTGCGATGTAGCCGGGATCACATATGTGTTTCCTAAAATATTGTTGGACTAGGAGTTGAAATCTGGACAAGCGACACAGGTCTTGCGCAGTGTGTCGAACCATTGCGCAAATTGAAATAAAAGCAGCAGCACACTTGAGTTTCACATATATAACATATGCAGTTATCCACCTTAGAACTAGTCGCCGTTTACTAAATTACTCCGGCGATATCTTTTCGTACCCAACTGCATTGTACGTGCCAAATGGAACCATGATAAAAATGGGACCTAGGTGAATTTCCTTACGATGTCCCGTAAGGGTCGGGGTGTTCAAAAAGTAACCACCCATAAATTTAAATTTGACCCCTGTTGACGGCTAATTTCATTTCGCTTAGCACTAATTAAAAAAAAAAAATTGAACTAACATTCTAATATGGCGTCTTAAATTCCGTCCACTCTTTCGCCCGTCCTTTTTTTCGGCAGACCCGATAAAACGTTTCATGATTCCCACCATGTTTTGAATTCTCCAACCGTTACTTGACTCAATATAACGTATAGAGTAGACTTAATGCATATTTGTTTTGCAAATAGCCAACAGTTTTTAAGTCTACAGATTTTGAAGTTTTCTTGAAACACAAGCTAAAGCAATCGGGAACCGTCGGCACTTTACGTAAACGCCCATTTTCTCGTTTACGGAAAGTTCCGACGGTTCCCAATTGAAGCGGGAATTTAGCTATTTGAGCAGGAAGGCTAATATGAAAAACTTGGTAAGGGATCAACTGTATTTCGTCAGTGTTTGGTAACTCTGCACGTTAAGTATCTATAAATAATGAACCATTTCACTTTTCTTAGTCATTAAACTTCGACACATCTTCCTTAAATTATACGGGATAAAGTCGGAGATAAATGAACTCGAAAGAAACCATTAAATCGAAACGATAAGTTGACCTCTCTCTCTCTCTCTCTCTCTCTCTCTCTCTCTCTCTCTCTCTCTCTCTCTCTCTCTCTCTCTCTACATTATGGGCATTGTAGGTTTCAATTTATCAAAAAAGTCAACTCGTATGTTGACTTCACTAATTATGTTATATTGCATGTATAAACGATTACATCTGTGTTATCATCTGTAATATGTACAAGGAAGCTCCTTACGAAGCATTCTCCCAAATTTCGCATTCAGGTACCCCCGAATTCAGAAGTGCCTGTTCGAAATTGGGGATTTCTTGAATAATTAATTGGGCTAACAAAACTACGAATTTGCCTTAAAACATTGTTCATTCGATACTGTATTCTTATAAGTTTCAGTTTGCAGTCTACTGCAAAAACGCCATCAAAGGTCACGTAAAATCGAATTACAAACTCAATATAAAGTAACCTCCAGTCATCATTGCTCTCTTAAGCAAAGCACATCAAATGCTTTTTTATAAACCTACTCTGCGTCTGATCACACCGTACAGGGGAGGTAACTCCCATTCAAATAATACGGAGATACTCAACGTACGATTTCTCTTTGTCAACAGATAAAGCTACGCCTAGTGGTGGTACATGTCATGAATAATAATAATAATATTGATAATAATTCGAGGTTCTTATATACCGCTTTATCAAAACCTAGTTCGTAGGTTGTCTCAAAGCAGTTCACAAATTATCATGCGTGGTTATGGGGCCTTTGCAGCCAGCGATTATCTTCCTCAACCCCCCGGGAAGCATACAGCCGGAGCTGCCATTTCGGCGCTAGCAGCTAGCATTCAACAACTCTAGCGCTACCCAACCACGTACTCATTTACAGCTGAGTAGACTGGAACAAGCGGAGTATAGTATCTTGCTCACACAGTACCTTGCCGTGACTCGAAACCGCAACCCTTCGGTCACGAGCCCGGCGTCCTACCACTAGACTACCGTGTCTCCTAAATTAGTTCTTATAGGAACTCCAATGCTTCAATAACAAACCTGATTCTATTATCAGTAATTTAAGTTCAGCTATGTGTTTGATTTTTTAATGCATTTTCAAAACATAGTTTAACTGACATTTAATAGATACTTATATGATGGTATATATTATAATTGAGTTCAGTTAAATAAATACAACATATTTTGACGTAAATTTTGGTTCAGATAACGTTTTCAATGTCCATGACATTGAAACGGTCTTCATTTGTTTTATTGTTTTTTTATTGTTTTGTTGTTGTTGTATTTTTGTTTTTAATATCAAGTGGCTTATCCCGTCGACCTAGAGAAGCTCGGATTTGTTTAAAAGAGTTCATAAAAGAGTTCATATTTCAAATTGTTTTTTGATAGTGTTAATAGTGAGTCAACTGTTCGTAGTCACAATCTTATTCAAAGTCATTGGGAGATATTTATTTTTTAATCTGTTTTGAATTTTGCAGATAATTAACTTTAACATTAACACTTTTGAAACTGACATATGTAATGACGCATGCTTCTGCGTCTATGTTTGTCTTTCACCTGCGGAAACTGTGAAAATTAACGGGAATTCGATTCCCCTGCTATATTCGTATCAGTGACATATACGTGACCCACCATATGGATTCTCTGCAACAGGTGTCTGTGTAAGGGTCATATACACGGGGCCCTGTAAACAAACGTTGGTATCAGTGCTTTAAAAGAATTCTAACTGATGACTAAGTTTGCTTGTGTTGTGTAGTTAGTGGAACGTTAGTAGCATATTATATAGCTGAAGTGTAAGTAGTATGATAGTTGCGTCAATAGTACATGTATAATAGTACTAGTAGCGACGTTTAACTAGAAATAACGACACAGCTTCTGTCGAAATAACATAACTTAATAATCATATCGAGATAACGTAACTCGTAATAACGCGGTAACACATTGCTATAACAAGATGATTCAAACCCTAATAACGAAGTAGTTTAACTTGTAATATGAGGATACTTTTTATTTTTGTGTGTAGCACTATACGGCTTTTTAACAGTTTAGATAAATTCCTTAGGTCACCGTGTGATGAGTCTAAGATTAAGGTAACTGTGTCATCAATGACTATCTAGGTCACAACGTCATTGATTTAAAGAACAACGACGTTTTTATGTTAAGTGGTCACTCGTTAGATACAAACGTAGGAAGCATATTGGAGGTCATGTTCACAGTTTACAAAGGTAAACGTGAGGCAAAGACAGTATTCCATACGTCACACGTCATACGTATGTATCTCATAAAGCGTGAGTGTTTATGTTTTACAAATCATTAACGCCAAACTATAAAACAGATTCAAATATCTTCATCGTCACAGTTCAAAAATTAATTAAATCGAGTTCGAGAAACATGATAATCATCCATCACGGGTTAGGTGACCTTTTCCTCCCATACAATTCATATGGTTAATCTAGAAACCATATGTGACGTCATCATGTTTCCGATTGGGGAAACAACTGCCAATTGACTATGACGTCAAAATAGAATAATAATAATAATAATAATAATAGACATTCTGTATTGAAGATAGATACATGTTTAGCCATGGGCTTATCTTCCACATGATTCTCTTGTTAGTAAGACGCATGTGTTAACTATGAATTACATTATAAATTTATATATCTATAAGAAACACACAATAGTATAAAATAGTTAGTGTCATAACTTTCTAAGACACATTCACCTTAAAATTATTATCACAGCTTTCTTAAGTTAAGAATATCATAGAAGATGACTTCGTAAAGCATTATTAACAGATGAATTGAATCATTTGTAAAAGGATGAACCCCATCCATGGAGTGCTCCGATATGTTTAGGGATTTCAGTGCTTACCAGTCAAGACTTGCTCACTGTTTCTTCCACCATAAGTGACCTACGTATATCCTTGATCGGATAAAAGAATGATTATTATTTTAGATGTCATATTTCCTTTCGACTACTCTCCTGATCAGGCCCCAATTTTTGTATTCTTCTGATAAACCCCCGATTTTTTGCACTACTGATAATGCCCCTATTTTTACGCTCAAGGTCAGGCCCTGAATTCTCGACAAAAATCCAATGGTTTAAACTGTCCGAAAAATGAAGTTGATTTGATAAAAAGGTTTGTATTTGATAACAACACTGAATATTGATTTTGTAAAACCAATTCTTTTTTCTTTTATGTCATTTTACTATTTTAAATCTCGTGTAAAATATTTTCATTGACTTAGAACGCATAAACTACATAGCTTGGACATTTGTATCGACCTTTTTACTGATTTATCAAAACGAAAGGATAAGTAGAAGTGAAAAAGTAAACAATGATTGATATCTGTCAACAATGTCCAGTTACAACACTGCAGATACGGCAGCTAAAATACCGCCTACGAATGATTAGTTTTGGGCAAACATTTGTCCGTTGTTGAGCTTCCGTTGGACGAACTGGACAGATGAGTTAGAAGCACGTCAACAATACAAATACCCGTCGCCCAGCTCACGCAGACATTTCAGGAGGAGAGG